TTCCACAAGTATGGTTCATCCCACACATATTGTTTTGCATCGTGTTGGAGCTTCTCTCTTTGAGCTTTAGAGAAGCTTGGTGGAAACCTGTTTAGAACAAGGAAATTAACAATGTGAGCGTACCAAGGGTGAATTTCCTTAAGAGAAAAAAGAGTCTCATCGGGAAATTCCCCTCGGATATCATCTTTGATATGATCATTTCCTTCATCAAGGACTAAACGGCTCAAGTGATCGGCCACCAAGTTCTCCATGCCTTTCTTGTCCTTGATCTCAACATCAAACTCGCTCAAGAGTAGTATCCACCGAATCAACCTTGGTTTGGCCTCCTTCTTTGTCATTAAGAATCTAAGAGCCGCATGATCGGTGTAAATGATCACTTTGGTTCCAAGTAAGTATGACCTGAATTTTTCAAGTGCGTAGACGACGGCCAACATTTCTTTTTCGGTGGTGGCGTAGTTGCGTTGAGCATCATTGAGAGTGGTGGATGCATAGTAGATCACATGAGATGCCCTTCCCACCTTTTGGCCCAAAACGGCCCCGACCGCATAGTCACTAGCATCACACATGATCTCAAATGGAAGAGACCAATCGGGAGCTTGGATGATAGGTGCGGTTACTAGCTTTTCCTTCAACGTATTGAAGGCCTTCTTGCATTCCTCGGAGAAGATGAATTCCACCTCCTTTTGCAAAAGTGTGCATAAAGGAGATGCAATCTTTGAGAAGTCTTTGATGAATCTCCGATAAAAACCTGCATGTCCAAGGAATGATCGTATCTCCCTAACGGTGGTAGGATAAGGGAGTGATTGGATGACTTCAACTTTGGCCTTGTCAACCTCTATCCCTTTGGATGAGATTACATGGCCTAGAACAATTCCTTCCTCCACCATGAAGTGGCATTTTTCAGAATTCAAAACAAGGTTTGATTCTAAACAACTTTTGAGCACAAGCGATAGATGGTATAAGCAAGAATCAAATGAGTCTCCATGGATTGTGAAATCATCCATGAAAACTTCCATAAATAGCTCAACATACTCGGAGAATATGCTCATCATGCATCTTTGGAAGGTGGCGGGTGCGTTGCAAAGTCCGAATGGCATACGTCGATAGGCAAAAGTGCCAAACGGACAAGTGAATGTTGTCTTCTCTTGATCTTCAGGGGCTATGGGCACTTGAAAGTACCCGGAATAGCCATCAAGGAAGCAATAGAATTTATGCCCCGCAAGTCTCTCAAGCATTTGATCAATGAAGGGTAAAGGAAAGAAATCCTTTCTAGTTACCGCGTTGAGGCGACGGTAATCTATACATACCCTCCATCCATTTTGAATTCGGGTGGGCATAAGTTCTCCATGTTTGTTTTCCACCACCGTGACTCCGGTTTTCTTGGGAACAACTTGGGTCGGACTAACCCACTTGCTATCGGATATGGGGAAGATTATCCCCATTTGGATAAGCTTGATGACCTCCTTTTTTACCACCTCCATCATAGGTGGGTTCAATCTCCGTTGTGGTTGGCGCACCGGCTTGGCTTCATCCTCCATCAATATGCGGTGCATGCAAGTAGATGGGCTAATGCCTTTGATGTCGGCTATAGTCCATCCGATTGCAAGCTTGTGCTCTTTAAGCACCGCAATCAACTTTTCTTCTTGATCTTCGGTCAATTTGTTTGAGATTATGACCGGCAACGTTTCTTTTTCTCCTAAAAACACATATTTCAAGTGTTTTGGGAGTGGCTTCATCTCAACATCGGGGGCCTGCAAAATAGAAGGCAAAGGCTTCTCTTCGGGGATGGTTAGTGGAAATGCTCTTGACCCCGGTGGTATGAGTGGAAGTTGGAAGTGATTATCCAATTCCACCATCATGGCTTGCATATTGGGAATCGAGGCAAGTCTTAAAGAATTTTCCCCGAAATCATTTTCAATCACGCTCAATAATTCGTCCTCTCCATTTATTTCAAAAGTACAAGAGGATCAATAATATCAATGGCAAATAGAGAATGATTTTCATTTGGGTATTTCATGGAGTCATAAATGTTGAATTCAACTTTATCTCCATCAAATTCCATTGTTAAAGATCCGCTAAAAACATCAATTTTAGCTCTAGCGGTCTTTAGAAATGGCCTTCCTAAAAGGATAGGAACCGCATTCTTATCATTTTCCATTTCCAAAACATAAAAGTCGGCGGGAAAGATCAAATTGTCTACCATAACTAGTACGTCTTCGACAATACCCTTAGGGTAGGCGTTTGATCTATCCGCAAGTTGGATAACCACTCCGGTTTCGTTTAAAGGACCAAGTTCAAGTGATTTATACAAAGAATAAGGAATAACATTGATTGATGCTCCTAAATCTAGCATGGCCTTTGAAAACGTAGTGCCGCCCAACTTACAAGGTATAGTGAACATTCCGGGGTCATTGTATTTCTTTGGAAGTTTCTTTTGAAAGACCGCGGAAACACGTTCACTAACTTGGACTTTTTGTTTTCCATTGAGTCTATGTTTTCTTTTTATTGTACAAAGCTCTTTGAAAAATTTTGCAAATCTAGGGACACCTTTTATTAAGTTCAGGAGGGGAATATTTACCTCACATTTGGAGAAAGTCTCATAGATATCCTTGTCTTTCTCCACCTTCCGTGTTTCCCTCAGAGCTTCGGGAAACGGGGCTTCAACTTCTTGGATGGCCGGTGGTGGAGTCGGCATGTGAACCTCCTCCTCTTCCGATTTGGCTTTGTCCACAGTCTCCTCTTCTTCTTCCTCGCCAATGTGGCTTTTGGCTTTCTCCTTGGCAATCACCAACTCTTTGCCACTCCTTAATGTCACCGCATGGGCTTGTTGCCTAGGATTCGGCTCCGTTTGAGATGGAAGCTTTGTTGAATCCTTGGCTTCAAGCCTACTCACCGCACTTGAGATTTGGCTCATTTGATTCTCAAGGTTTTGGATGCTTGATTTTGTCTCATGCTGAAATTGAACCATGTTTTGTTGCATGGTTGAGACATTCGAGGTGAGTGCTCGGATCATGTCTTCGGTGGACATAGTTGAGCCTTGGCCTTGCGGTTTAGAATACGGTTGCTTTTGAGGAAATTGGTTTTGTGGAGGGTTATTTTGTGGTGGGTTTCCTTGCGGATTCCCATATCTCAAATTGGGGTGATCTCTAAACCCGGGATGATAAGTATTTCCATAAGAATCGTACCTCTTTTGGTTGGGGAACCCCAAGGCATTGACTTGCTCGGAGTTGTCTTCTTGTAGAGTTGGGCATGAGTCGGTTGGGTGCCCTTGCTGAGTGCAAATGCCGCAGACCTTGACTTCTTGGGTTTTGGAATTTAAAAGGAAATCCTTAACCAAAGAAGTCAAGCCGGCAACTTGACTTTCCAACGAGGTGTTGGACTCTGCCGCCATCACTCGTTTTTTTGATGACCTCCCGCTATAGTGTCTCGAGTTTTCGGCAAACTCCGAGATGAGGTCTCTTGCTTGGGAAGGTGTTTTGTTGACGATTCCTCCCCCACATGCGGCGTTGATCATTCGTCTATCATCATTGCAAAGACCATCATAAAAGTATAGGATGAGGTCTTGCTTCGAATAGCCGTGGTATGGACAGCTTGCACAAAGCTTTTTGAACCGTTCCCAATATTCATAGAACGATTCATCATCATTTTGCTCCACATTGCTAATTTGTTTCTTTAGAGATGAGGAGACGGAGGCGGGGTAATACCTCTCGAGAAAAGCTTTCTTCATGGCCGCCCATGTTCCTATACTTCCCGAGGGAAGATAGAATAACCAATCCTTTGCGGTGTCTTTTAGGGAGAATGGAAAAGCCCTCAACTTGATTTGCTCCTCGGTAACTCCGTTGGGGCACATGCTTGTGCAAACAACATGGAATTCTGAGAGATGCTTATTTGGATCCTCCCCTCTTAAGCCATGGAAGGAAGGAAGAAGATGAATAAGCCCCGATTTGAGCTCAAATGTATTACCCTCATCAAGAGTGGGGAAGGTAATACACAATGGTTGTTGATTCAGGTTTGGAGCCGTGAGCTCCCTCAGTGTTCTTGTTTCTTGAGCCATAGTGATTGGCTCTTCAGATTCGCTAGAACTAGAGCTAGCGTTTGAGGATTCCTCCGAGGGTGTGTGCGGAAATAAATTTCTCAACCTCTCGAAGGCTTGTTCTATTTCGGGGTTTGTTTGATAAGTGATTTCGTTTATAGAACGATATCGGACCATATACTTCACAAAGCTCAGAAATAGAAAAATAAGAACTCTTTATATTTTTGATTAATTATATTTTTTTTTTATTTTTCTTGAAATAAAATAAAAAGAAAAATAATTGCCTTTCCCCGGCAACGGCGCCAAATTTGACGTGCACTTATCGTGAGGTGCACTCAAAATAAATATCAATACGACACTAATACGTAGTATAGCGAAGTAAGGTTCGTATCCACAGGGAAAGGAATACTTCTCTTATTATAGAACTAGTAACAATATGGGGGGTTTTAGTTTGATTTGGTTTAATAAATTAAACACGAAAATGAACGAGTTATGTGGTTTAATTAATGAGAAGAAGACTTGGCTTTACTTTTATCCACTTAATGAAATGTTCGTCGATCCCAGTTATATCTTTAACTATCTTCCTCTCGAATACTCAATCGAGGAGTATATCCAGTTCATCAAGGGTAGTTATTAATAACGAGAAGCGTTCATTAATAAAACTTACTACCGAGACAATATAGAACAAGCGCCGTATATTAACTTGATAGTAGCAATAAAATCAAGATGAAAACGATTCAGATTGATAACCTCAACACAAGCGGTTTATTGGTTCAATCAACATAATTAGTTCCCCTTGGCTTATTAACCATGAGAAGCATGCATTAACAACCCAAGTTTACTACCGTGAAAGGACCGAATTAATAACAAGCGTATTAACCGACCGATTCTAGTAATAATTAATATATAGAACAAGACTAGTTGATACTTTAAGTAATGCTCAATATATTAATATAGAATAAGAATAGGAAGTAATTAATATTCGAGGAAGAAGATTAGAGAAAATAACTCACAACTTACAAATCATTAAGCTTCAAAGTAGCAAAACCAAGATGGAAGAGTTTAGCTCCTCATTTGGAGACTAAACATGATAAAAGTATAAAGAAAGAACTTGTCTAAACTGAGCTTAGAAGTATATAGGAATTGGTGATCTATTGTGGAGGAAATGGGGTGTATTTATAGGCTTTTTGGGCTTGCAGGGTCATGTACCCGATCGGGTATATTGGGTACTCGATCGGGCCTTCAGTTGCTTCGCGGAAGCTGGAAAAACATGGGGTATACCCGATCGGGTATGTCGGCTACCCGATCGGGTATAGACACTCGATCGTGGTTAAAATCTTCTCTGCATGTTGCCTTGTTCGCGGATTTATCCGATTTGATTTTTCAGCAACTTACCCGATCGAGTATAGGGTATACTCGACCGGGTACAACACCAAAAATCAGGATCTTCATTTTGTTTTGGAATTTTTGCACCTTCCTTCCACTTGTGATGTTCACCAATGGTCTCTAGAGTGGTCTTGGACCTGTTTGAGCTCAGAACAAACCTAATCTAAACAATTTACAAACATTTTACAAACTAAACTATTACACCAAAAGTGTGTAATTTCTAGAGTAACAATCACTCAAAACTAATCAAAAACACAATTATAAACGTGGAAATAACATGAATGTCAATAATACATAAGTTGAGCTCCATTAATGGAGGTTTGTTGCTATTCTACAAAGGAGGAAGAAGAAACACTACATGGGAGAGAGAAGCTCTCTCCAGGAGAGAAGAGCCAGAAAGCGGGATCCTTTAGCAGGAAGCTTTGCAAGCTTCCTATTTATAGATGGGGGAGGGGTGTGAGGGTTTTCCCCATTTGAGCCAATGGGCCTAAATGGGCCGTGTTGGGCCGGAATGGGCCTGTTAGGCCGAAACGGACCATGCCGACTGGGCCCCGTACCGAGGCGGTGTCTTGGGCCTCTGAACAATAGTAGGCCGGGATAATATATCCCAACACGACGTTAGATCCAGTTCAATCATGTTTTCACAACGTAACCAATACGGAGAACTCGTTTCCCAGGACACTTGTGGAGTGCATAAAAGCAACTCCAATGCTCTTGGTCAGGTGAAGTGGCAAAAAAATGATCTGGGTCTATTTAGAAAAGTTGGTCCACTATTCACAAAAAAGATGGTTCATTGGAAGAGACCTCCAATGCGCAACAATGAACTCAAATACAAAACAAGAAGCAAACATTGGAAATTAAAGAGAAAAGCAAATGTATGGTCTTCAATAAATATAGGCCCACCCTTGTTTGTCAGAGGGTTGCACCGAGGGTCCATTTATGGACCTCGTGCTAGACTTTGTTCCATTTTGTTGATTTCCATATAAGCTTCACCATGTCCATTTCTTTTTGCATTGGAGTAGGCAATTATGTTTGAGGTGTGCATTTGATGAGGTGGAACAACAATGGACCTCTACATTGGAGATGCCCTAAAAGTCTCCGTTAACCGTCGTAAAAGGTCTCCGTTACCCTCATCTCTGCCCTCTCGACACAAAAGGCCGCCCAATCGCTAAACTCTTCGAAAACCGCGAGAAGATGAATAGCAAGAGAGCATCTTCCGCTCACAGGAAGCAGAAATCAGCTCCGAAAGCAAAACAATTGCAGTTTAGGTGGTAAAATTTATGGTTTTCTGGGTTTGTGTTCTCCCCTTGGAATCCCTATATCAAATCAGGCTTCCGAATTTTATTACTTTTAATCTGCAAAGTTGTGGCAATTAGACTTTTATATTGATTTCAATTGGAATGCGTGTCAGTCCAATTGCAGAGGACAACGTTTCATGCGATAGTCCGGAATATTCACCCTTTCCTGATGACCAAACGAACGATCCGGATTGTTCAGGTTCTCCTCATCACTATACGGACGAGGAGAACGCGTACGTATTCTCGCTTACTCGTTCACTCATTCCTAATCACTATTCTCGCTTACGCGTATCAACGGTCGAATATGGCTCCATTGCAACTTCACGGCTAAGACAAAAATGACTAGTGGTGGGGATGGAGATTGTTCCGTCAAGCTCTTCTTTGCTGAGCTATTTGTTTCTTCGGTGACCTGAGAAGTCAACTACTGTTGTGTCTTGAAAGGTATTGAAACTGCTTAATAACCCCACTCTCCCACCCTCATCTGTCATGTTGTGCTTCCACCAGTACAACATTTCTGTGGGCACAGCTAATCTGTCAACAATTCAAATTGTAAAAGTACAGAGAAATGAAGTTAACAGTTTTTAATATCCCACAGGTAAAACCACCGGCTGTTGGTGGTGTGAGGATTATGTTAAGCATCCAACTAACGGATTCCATGAGGGGCGAACCTATGCTTTGCGCTCTCGCTCTCGTTCTGCCTCACGATAACTGAAACCCGTAACATCTATTGCTTGCAGTTGGCCAGAATTGCTACCTGCCTGCCAAGTTACTTTAGAAGCACAATTCAACATAGGATATCATTGATTCACAATGAAGGTTGACAACAGTGTATTTCAAAATATCAATCAGATTTTTTTTCTTGTTTCACAAACTTCTTTGTTTCACTTCAATCAATATACAATCAGTATTTCGTATAATTTGATGTACAAAGCTGATAATTAAAGATTTAAATTATTAATTATTTAGACTTTTAGAGTCATATTGTCACTAGTTTATCTCGTACTGCAGCAGTTTAGAAATTAAAATATGTCAGTCAAGATGGAATCATAAGTGATACCAAGCAATCAAGATCCAAACTGGAGCCATTTTATCAAACAATAGAGGCTGCGTATAGTTTTTCTAATGCATGTAACTGTCATTGATTTACTTAGATAAATAGATACCCCATATAACTTTAATGTTTACTATTTAGCAGCCACTCTGCACATAGAAAACACTAAATCATCAGGACAAACTATAATATACAGTAATAAAATATCTAACCAGTCGACAAATTTATATCTGATCTATTTCTAGCCAATAAACCGATTTACAATCATAAGGCAAATTAGGCTTAACATATTAATTATATAATTAGTTATTATACATAAGAACAACTAGTTCTCTATATAGTTAATTGATTAGAGATGATCAAACTTGAAAGAGATAATTGAAGGAGAAGATTATTGTAATTTAAGCTCAACTTCTTGCTATACGTTAATTAGCAGCTCTACGCTTCTGCTTGTGGGGTGGGGGTCCACTCTCCTTAGGGCGCTGCACTTTTTAGGGTCAATATCTCCAGGCGAAATGGTGAATGGAAGAAAGGATGATTCACCAAGTTATTGAATATTGCTTTGTTTTCTTCCTTAGTTCTTGAATTGAAACGGTGAAACGAGGCGGTGGTTTAGTTTTAGATGGGAGGACTTTCAAGTAATTTCGTAGCAAAAGTGGACTTTTTTTTCTTCCATTTGAAAAATCAAAGGTGACTTGGAAAATATAATCAATAAGGTTTTGACATCTGTCGACTGTCAAATGCACCAAAACATTCAGTTATATGAATGCACGGTAAAATTTTCCAATAAATTAAACTTTTTCACAGAAATATATATGATGTAAAATTGCAACTATATGTTTTGTCATTACACACTCCGTATATTATAAAGAGTACTACGTATATACCGACTAATGATAAATTCATGAGAAAACTTTCTAAATATGAGTAAAAAGAATTGTAAATTCCAAAAAAAGACGTTCATGTTTTTATTCCCTAAATAAGAGTAATTTCTGTTAAGTTTGGCAATATCAGGTTTTAAACATGGAAGTTTCTACAGAGTTTTTTTCAAACTTGACAGAAATTGCTCTTATTTAGAGGGGGACGTGAAGACTCTATTTTGGAATTTCAGAACGTTTTTAGTACTATCCAAGACAATTTCTATAAATTTATTTACACCCACTGTACGTTGTTGTCTCATACCGGATATCTCTGAAATAATTACACGATATATTAAGATCCGAGCTACTCAATCCTCCTATCAGGGACCTTTTAGGATAAAACACGGTATCTTAACACCCATCGATCGGCAATCAACACAAACTAAAGCCATGAAAATTAAAACAACAACAATTATTTTTACATTAATAGTACACAATATACATTTTATAACATGAAATGTGTTGTAGAAGTGTGGCCGTTCTCCTTGATATGGCAGCAATTAATTACTACCTCCGTTCTCTTTTAAATGCAACGTTGGACTTTTTGCACTATTCACATGTTCTACTTTGACTACGTTTTATTTATTAATGTAATAATATATATTTTTGAAAAAAATATTGTTAAATTTTTCTCATTATAAATTTTCAAAATCTATTTTTTAAACTTTTTTTACTAATCGGGAATTATAGATATTAATGGTCAAAGTTGTGCCTCGACAAATGTGAAATGTTGACTGTTGCATTTATTTAAGAACGGAGGAAGTATATCGGAAGGGGACGGCCGGTAAGGGTAATTTGGTCATTAGCTTCTGCGGCGGTTTGACTATCATCATTGACGTTCTTGATCGCGGTGGTGCTACTTTTGACCTCACCGTAGAAATAGGAGACGAAGCCCCAGAGGGAGAGGGCAAGAGAGACACCCTTCTGAGTCTGGAACTTTTCTCCGTAGAAGACGACGCCGAGAACCTCCGTGACGGAGAGCAACATGGCTATCACGACGCCTGACAGCAGAGACGAGCCGTAACATATAACGCCGACGGCTCCGACGAAAAAGAGCTGCCACATTATGGCGGTCCATATCACGACGGCGTAGTATTTCCCTTCTCCCATTCCGTATTCTCTCGCCTCCCTTGAAAGTGCCTGCACCCACCACCGGCCACATCATCAGTGCTTATTAATTACTCACTTCCTCTCATTTTAAAAGTTCATGTCCACTATTCTCCGATCACCGTGAAGTGTTCTTAATCTTTTACTTTACACATCCAATTTTTATCAAATATAATTTTTCTTGATCACGTATTATAAAATTTCTAATGTGGTTTCTAAACATGTAAATTTTATTTATTAAAAATAATCTTATTAATCACATGGATCAGTTAACTTTATGATTATTCAAATATCGTAAATCGTGTGAGAACCTTTAAATGAGACGAAGAGAGTACAAAGTACGAATGACATCAAGTATAATCTACGGAGTACGTACTACGTATATGCTAGCTTATGAAGTACGTACTCCGCAAATGAAAGAACATAATATGGCTTTGATTTAGTTCTAACATACACTTGCCAAAAAAGGAATGAAAGAACATAATACTCTCTCCGTCCCGTTATAAGGTTCCCACTTTCCTTTTTTGGACGTCCCATTAGAAGGTTCTCATTTCCATTTTAGGAAACAATCAACAATCTTAAGTGACAAATTAGTCATTAAATATTAAAAATAATACATTTATAACATCACAGTTTTTAATACTAACACATTATAATATATACCTATTAAAATAATTTCTCAAAATATACTCGAAGTACTTTATTTAATTATCACCTAAATTATCGTACCGTTTTGCTATGGAAACCTTGTAACGGGAGGGAGTTAGTATTCCATATAGCTTTGATTTAGTTCTAACTAACGAACACTTGCCAAAAAAGGTAAAGTGATGGCAGACTGTAAAGTCTTTTTACAGACTTAAATAACTTAATAAAGTGTGCAATTTGATTAGAAACGAATTATTCAATTCCGGCAAATGCATGCATATATAGCGGAACCATTAATTAGGGCTATGTTGGGCAAAAACAAACGTCATTTATTTTTTCAATTTTTTAATTAGTTCATATTTTTTCATTGAGAAAAAAACAAAATAGGTAGGTCCGATCGGAGTAATCTAATATGTAAATGAATAAATATGACTACGGTGTTCATCTCTTAAAAACAGAACTAGAGTATATTTTATCTTTCTATTCTACTTTACCACAACTTAATAGAAAAGTCTATTTTAATTTGTAATAAAAAACATAAAAATAAAACAAAATTGATTTATAATATTCCATACAATCATAAAAAAAAATATGGAGTAAAGAAACTCAAAAATATTTTTAAAAATATTAAAAATAGTACACCGTAAAAACAAAAAAAATAAAAAATAAGAAATATAAAAATAAATAAATAAATAAATAAATAAAAAATATAAAACACACATGGAGCAAAAAATGGAGGCATTTCCGACAACCTCGTAACAACGTCACCTTCGATCGGCGAAAACATGCAATTTTATATTAAAAATGTCACTTTTTTCTCAAAATGCCATGAAGATATATAACATTTTTAGTCTTTGAAAATACCAATGATTTCTCTATAAATTCCATCAGGATGGCGTTACTGACACATGTTGGCATTTTTCCCGGTGGTCGAAGCTGGTGGTGCTGAGAGGTTGTTGCGGCAGACTGGCAGCATAAGAGGTTTGCATATTTATTTTTATTTTTATAATGTTTTTTTATTTTTTATTTTAATTTTTTAATTTTTTTATACTCCGTGATTTTTTGTTTTTCAATTTTTTTACTCCCTCCATACATCCCAAAAAGATTGGCTAATTTAACTTTTCTTAATCAATAGTGTTAAGGTTTAGATAATAATTTTAGGTATGATATTTGTGTGTAATTTATAAATATTATACTTTTAGGAAAGATTTTTAATAAAGAATATGGTCATATAATTTTCATATTTTAAATAATTTTGTATTGAAAAATATCATTAATCAAACTTGACAACTATTGATCAAGAAAAGTTAATTTGGTCAATCTTTTTGGGACGGAGAGAGTATTACTTTAATTTAATGACCGTAGTATTTATTTTATGAATTGTAATAAAAAATCAGCAAGGGTAAAATTAGAAAGGTACTCATATATTGAGAATTTTTAATTTAACTCATAAACTCCCTCCGTTCCAAATGAGAGTCCCATTTCTTTTGGGCACAAATTTTAATAAAGTGGTTGAAAAGGTAAAAGTTGTGGTTGAGATTTGAGTAGAAAAAAAGTGAAATGATGAGGACCACATCTTTCTTTCCAAAAAGGGAAACATGACCATCATTTTAGGACATCCCAAAAAGGAAATACGGAATCATCATTTTGGGACAGAGGAAGTTTGCAATTAAATTAAAGTTTCATTTAGTCATGAGAATTTCCCCATTTACATATTTAGTTCACTTCAATTTATTAATGAAACGTAGTATAACTACACTTCAATCTAGTCTAATCCAGATTAGTCAACACCTACAGGCTACAACTCTTTTGGATCGAAATTCTGATACTTAGTCGTTACTAAGGGTGCCAGTTTTCTGTATGCTTAATTATGCATGCATGCATATACTAGCTAGTAATATAATATGTACTCCGCAGTATACATTAGAAAATGTGTTAGCGTGTTACTCAATACTCCGTATGATTTACTACCGGAATTTGATAAAAATAAGTGCACTTTTTTTTCCGGCCCTCGCTTCTAAAATAAAGATATTTAATTTGTATGACCAGCTAAAAAATGAATATATACTCCATGTGTGATTAAATACCTGGAAATCCTTGTTTATGATCATGCCAATGGCACATAAAACTGTAGAGGAGAAACACATGACAATCTGGATCTCCAAAACCAATGTGTACGTGATCGCCTGCTTCGCCTGCTTGTACACCAACTCGATTGCTGGCAGAATGAACCCGTACAAACTTGCCGCAAGAATCGTCATTATGAACCCAATAAGATACTCTTTTCCGGACTCGCCGGCCGGCCGGTCGCTACTCGCCCCGAAGGCAAGAACTCCGGCGCCCATGGTCAGCAACACGATGGCGTTAACCGAGAAGGGAGTGAACCTCTGCTTCACGAGGAGGTAAGCGAAGCACGCGGTGAATGCGAGTTGCGTGGCGATGAGGAGGGCGGAGGTCGAAATGGGGAGCTTCGCCACGCCAGAGGCGTAGAGGAAGCTCTCGAGGCCGTTGATGGCTCCGACGACGGACGTGGCCATGAAAATCATCGGGGTCATGAAGAAGAGCTTTGCACCCGTGCCCTCGGATTTGCGCCGCATACAGTATGCGGCGGCGAGAGGGAGGAGGGTGAGGGGCCAGGCGGCTGTGAGGAGGGAACTGGAGAACCATATCCGCGTTCCGCCGCGGACGAAATAGAGGCGGGTCATTAGTGGCCCGCCGCAATTTCCTATGCTTAAAATGAAACCATTAATCAATAGAAGGATGAGCCCCTTCCCCTTCCACTTATTAGTACTAGTATTAGTCCTAATAGCATGCTTAGATACTGTAATATCCATTCTATTATATATACAACTAATGCAAGTATTAATATGCACTTTCAGTTTTGATTGTACAGCTTGTTCTATATGCCATGCCAGTATATATATAAGCTTCGCTAAGCTTCAACTCAGGCAATCATATTTAATTATATATTTATACCTTATGCTTGATACGTGGCCTCTATTTAAAGTCCATCCATGATTTGCACAATTTTGTTTGTTTCAAGAAGTTAAACTTCATGAGAAATATATGAACCAAACTACTAAGCTTTGGTATGAGATTCTGGAATTAAAACATAACTTTGAACAAATTAAATAGTGAACATTACCGCGCCAACCAGATATTATTCTTTCAGTTAATTGAAAATGCATTATTTTGGCGGCCAGAAAGTAAGATCATAATTTACTTCTTAAACATGGAGGAATCACAAGTCATCAAGCAAAGACTGTTTCTAATCGGATGTTAGGAGTATGATGAGGTGTACTATGGGAAACTATTCAAAGACCAAATTAAGGTTAATTAATTATGTTTCGTAGGTGTACTGTGAGTGTTCTGTGTAAGCAACCCTCTAATTTAATTAATTAAACCAGTGTTAGTTACGAATTACGGAGTATATTATTATGTTTGATTTGATTTCAAGTTTTAAATCATAATTGAATGATCGGCTCGGTTTATTGGAAAAGATAATGAATCATGAGAGAATTCCCTAAATGGGAGTAAAAACGTTATGAAATTCCAAAGTATGACTATCAAGTTTTTTATTCCCTAAATAAGAGTAAATTTCTGCCAAGTTTGGCATTACTAGGCTTTAAACATGGCATTTTTTCTAGACTTGACAGATTACTACTTTTCAGGGAATTAAAAACATGATAGTCCTATTTTGGAATTTCAAAACATTTTTACTCTCATTTGAAAATTTGTCAATTTTATCATCTTTAATTTCGTTGGGTTTTTGCCACTTTTGATCTCTTGATTATTGTGTTAGTGACACATTTTGTGCGACTTTCAATTTTTACATTTTTAATCCTTAACTATTGTGCGATAGACACTCTTAGTATCAGACTTCATAGTTTACCACATTCAGTCCTCTGAGTATTATCAAATTGATATTTTAATCCTTCCACTATGATATTGACACAATAAGTGAATGACTAAAAATTTCACTATTATAATAGTCGAAGGACCAAAAGTGTCAGTCTTATGAAAGTTGAAAGACTAAATATGGAAATTTTTAAAAATGGTTACCAAAGTATTTTTCGCACAGTAGTCAAATAACTAAAAGTGGAAATTTTCAAATTTGAGTACCAAAAGTAGTGTCCGTGATTTAGTAGTCGAAGGACTAAAATTGACAAAAACTCTTTTTTGATTCTAACATTTATTTTGAAAACTCAAAGGACTAACTTATATTTTTATTAACGCATGGGGTCCAAGTCTTGCAGTATCCGCCCCGCCCCGACCCATTGCCATGCCTAGTTGAAAGTATGCATCACAATATTGATCATTATTCATCGTCAATTGCATACATGATAGTAAAGTTTTTTAATGTATTTTCAACCTTGCACGCTTTGCTTTCACACGTTCCAATTCTTCTACATAACTTTAAAATTAAATTAAATGAATACATATGTTATAACACTTTTTAGTAAAGACCAATTATTGTAAGAAAGTGATAGTTGTAATGAACACTAAAATTTAAGATTAATAAAATATGGTGTAGTAAAATCATAAATTGTGGCTAATCCAATTTATAAGATTTCCTTAAATATATCAAATGCTTATTGATGTGAGTGAATTTTACACGTATGTAAAATTTTAGGTTAGTTTATGAGATTTTAAACATATTAGTTTTTAAATTTTATTACTAACTTTAATATTTACTTTCCAACATAAATCTTGATGGATACTGTACTCGGGGGTAGCTTATCTGAGGGATACCACGAGGGATATCTAGAGAGAAGTCAGAGCAATAAGTAAGAGACAATGAGAATGTATTAAATGAACTCGTTCTGTCTTACAAAGGAATAAGGGACACTATTTATAGTAGTCATAAATTCTAGACGCATTAAATGCGAGTACACGTGTCAAGTAATCAATGGTGGAGGGTCACTCCAGCCGTGCTGGCGCCGACATTGCATGTGGTACCGCATTAAATGCGGTGGTTGGACGTGACATCGCATTCAATGCAGTGGTTGTCTGTCTTCAGAGGGAATCTTTGCTGAGTGGAGACCTTTCGGTGTGTGTACCGAAGGCACCCTTGGGCCGAAGGCTATTGTTTTAGCCATAATCTCCCAGCAACTTTATGGGTCCAAGAGCAGTTGTCTCCTGGTTTTTCATGCCTTCGGCCATGACGCCGAAGGCACCCCTATGTGTATCATGGGCTCCTTTGAGCTTGGGCCGCCGTATCTGGACTTCATGTGTTAGCTGGGTTTATTGGGCCTGTTTAAGGGAAGTATGAGTATGTGGGTCGGGGGTCTCTGGGCCATATACTCCATCAAATCCATTAAGAGTCTACTTGTTAATTAATATTTTTAGCTTATCAGTATTATTCTTCATTTTTTATCAAACACATAACTTTTAGTTTTGCACAGTGAATTATATAATAATCAACATAAGTGAGTTTTAAGTTATTTTTGTGATTGAATTGATTGAACTTACTGTAAAAGATCATTGTAGTTATTTAATAAGATTTTTCTTTAATATAATTAAAAATATTTTAAATATAATTTTTTCTTTAATTAGAATTTCATTAGTTTCAAATCTTCAATACGTTCAATCCATTTTACCGATTTGAAGGTTATAGTAAATGGATTCTAAAAACAAAAATTCCTTTTGTACACGTTTTTATACACGTCAGTACACTCCATTGTCTGTGAGAGTTTTTTTTTTTGTCTGTGAATGCTAGTTCACAGACAAAACCTGACTTGTTTTGTCTGTGAAAAATTCTACATACAAAACAAGTCAGGTTTTGTCTGTGAACTGACATTCACAGATAAAAAAAACTCTCACAGACAATGAGATGTATTGATGTGTATAAGAAGGTGTACACCAAGAATTTGCACTCCTATGTGTTCGTGTCCAATTAGAAAATCAGCCCAAGATGGGGAATAACGTAATCTCACTTCCGCCTGTATTTGTACCGTCTCTCTCTACCGCTCATCTCTCTTCCAGACGGTCATACTGCTCTCTTAATTTCCAGCTCCTCACCTTGGGTCGGACGAAGTCTAACCACGCCGTTCGTCTAATATCGTGAGGTCAGTCGATTATTACTAACTGTCTTCTTATTATATCGCATCTTTATTGTTTGTTCTTACATATCTTCAATAATCTTCATCGTATAGATCAAGTTAGAGGGTGTTTTTGAGGTTCGTTCTTCCTCTGTTCTTTCATTTAAACGATGAATAATCTTCTAAATCAAGGAGTTGTAATGAGCTGTAATTTAATGACCAGCGAATACGCTGGCAGTGTTGCCTTCGTACGGAGGAGAGCCAAAATTCCGCAGATTAACTGCGAGCACGATCTCACAGTGACTTCATCATTGTCACGCGGGAACAGTTTTCCCAGGCGGTATAGCTTTTATATATATACAGATGTAATTTAAGTGCTTACTTAGTTCTGATCCATATAATTGATATTGTATTTTTTATATTTTCTGTGTATATTTTGTAGGATTTGGTTCTGATTGGCGTCTTCCAAGATGGGTCTGACAGACATTCTACCGCCAGTAAAATCAAATAGCAGTGAGAAATATGATCACTCAAATGACCCATGGTTTAAGAACAGGTACAGTGCCCCTGAGGCAGAAATAGTTGCAGTTATCAAGGCAAAACCAGTTCCCCCTTATTTGAAAAGGGCTGGGTTTAGGCCATCTAAGCTTGAGGATTTTGGGGATGGAGGTGCCTTCCCAGAAATCCATTACGCGCAGTATCCTCTTGATATGGGGAGAAAAAAGGACCGCAACCCTGCAAGCAAGACATTACCTCTTACGGTTGATGAACATGGTGATGTCAGGTATGATGCCATTGTGAGGCAAAACGAGAACTCAAAGAAAATTGTGTATTCTCAGCATACTGATCTCATTCCCAAAGTACTGAAAGATGAAATTGATGACAAAGAGATGGATAGTGATGAGAAGCAGAAGGTAATTGAGGACACTGCCATGGAGACAAAAGCTGCACTTGAGAAAATAGTTAATGTTAGGCTGAGTGCGGCACAGCCCAAGAATGTTCCCACACAGTCCTCAGACTCAAAGTATATCAAATACAAACCATCCCAACAGTCAGCTGCTTTTAACTCAGGTGCAAAGGAGAGGATCATTAGGATGGTGGAGATGCCTGTTGACCCATTAGAGCCACCAAAGTTCAAACACAAAAGGGTTCCAAAGGCTTCTGGCTCTCCTCCTGTGCCTGTCATGCATTCTCCACCCCGTCCTGTCACTGTCAAGGACCAACAAGACTGGAAGATACCTCCTTGTATTTCCAACTGGAAAAATCCAAAAGGTTATACGATTCCACTCGACAAGCGTCTTGCTGCTGATGGTAGGGGACTTCAGGAGGTCCAGATCAATGACAACTTTGCCAAGCTGTCAGAGGCCTTGTATGTGGCTGAACAGAAGGCCAGAGAAGCTGTTGCCATGCGATCTAAGGTGCAGAGGGAGATGATGATGAAGGAGAAAGAAAGAAAGGAGATTGAACTTCGTGAGTTGGCCCGGAAGGCAAGGTCTGAAAGAACTGGTGGTGGGGGTGGTGTTGCACCGCCACCTCCTCCACCTGCACCTGCTGCTGTGCCTTCTGGAATTAGTGTGGATGATGATTATGAGCATCAGCACGCACCGCCTAAAGAGAGCCGAGAGGAAAAAGAAGAGAGAATGAAGAGAGAGAAGATCCGTGAAGAGAGACGCCGGGAGAGGGAGAGGGAGCGAAGGTTGGAGGCTAAAGATGCTGCAATGGGGAAGAAAAGTAAGATCACTCGGGACAGAGATCGTGATGTCAGTGAGAAGATGGCTCTTGGCATGGCTTCCACGGCAAGAGGAGGAGAGGTGATGTACGACCAGAGGTTATTTAATCAGGAGAAGGGGATGGACTCTGGATTTGCCACTG